GGAGACCATGCAGTTCCTGAACGACCGGCTGGCCAGCTACCTGGAGAAGGTGCGGCAGCTGGAGCGGGAGAATTGCGAGCTGGAGCGGCGCATCCAGGAGCGCAGCCAGCAGCAGGAGCCCTCGCTGTGCCCCAGCTACCAGTCCTACTTCCGCACCATCGAGGAGCTGCAGCAGAAGGTGAGGCCTGGCCGTCGCCCCCAGCCTGGGGAGCTGTGCGATTCTCCTCTCCGGGGCGAGACGGGGACCTTGCTTCCGGGCTCTCATCGTTCTAGCCTTTCCCTTCCCTTCACGGAAGAGAGAGAAGCTGATGGTCTCGCATTGGTTTTCCACCCTCACTGAGCAACTTCTGCCTCCCAGATCCTGTGCAACAAGGCTGAGAACGCGCGGCTGGCGGTGGAGGTGGACAACGCCAAGCTGGCCACCGACGACTTCAGGACCAAGTGAGTTGTTTGGAATCCACACCAGTGTCCCCTCTTTGTCATCTGTGTGTAGAGAGAGGTGGCCGCAGCTTTCCTGAACAGCCCGTGAATCCCTGGGTGTGAAGGACTCTGTGGAGAGTAGAGGGGATTGCACTGAAGGGAGGAGAGCAGGAGATGAACACTGAATCAGCCTGTTCCTCTGGGGACTGATTTTGGGTCTTGACAGAGCCTCTGTCTCAGCGTCTCCTCCTGGCAGGCAGCAGGAAGGCAAGGGGAGTGGGGTCATCAAGGGTCAGTCCTGTTGGTCTTGAACTGCTGTTAGTGTTTGCTTTAACCTTGACCTTGTGCAGGTACGAGACGGAGCTGTCCCTGCGGCAGCTGGTGGAGTCGGACATCAACGGCCTGCGCAGGATCCTGGACGAGCTGACCCTGTGCAAGTCCGACCTGGAGGCGCAGGTGGAGTCGCTGAAGGAGGAGCTGCTTTGCCTCAAGAGGAACCACGAGGAGGTGAGACCAGAAGTGAAAGATGGAGAGACCTGAGCCAGCCTCAGGCTGACAGGGGTGTTTGGATTTAGAGCATTGAAATGAGTCTGAGGCTGAGGCTTGTCTTAATTCATCTCCCTTAAAAACATCCAAACCTCACGATGACAGAAGACAGAGAGAGAGAGAGAGAGATAGAGAGAGAGAGAGAGCGAGAGAGAGCGCGGACCTGTCCGCATTCCCAGACGGGATCTACTGTTCACTCAGAATCTGGACATCCTTGGTTACCTGGGCACCTGCGTGGGCTGGTTGTTGTAGATTCGATCTAGCAGGGCTGCATCAGGGTTGTGCAAAGCCATGTCTTCCTCTAAATGACAAAAGAATCAGGGCTGATGAATGTGGTTCCAGTCTGAGTAATGTCTTTCCAAGGGTCTGCTCCACTCTGGGTAGTAACCTTAGTATTTGTGCCTCCACAGGAAGTCAACACCCTGCGCTGCCAGCTCGGGGACCGCCTCAACATAGAGGTGGATGCAGCGCCAACCGTGGACCTGAACCGCGTGCTCAATGAGACCAGGAGTCTCTACGAGGCCCTGGTGGAGACCAACCGCAGGGAGGTGGAGGAGTGGTACACCACGCAGGTGGGCGCCCCGGAGCTCCCCACAGGCGCGCGGACCCCCAGGCCCCAGGCCCAGGGCAGCGCCTGACCCCGCCTCCCCCTGGCTGTTGCAGACCGAGGAGCTGAACAAGCAGGTGGTGTCGAGCTCGGAGCAGCTGCAGTCCTACCAGGCGGAGATCATCGAGCTGCGGCGCACGGTCAACGCCCTGGAGATCGAGCTGCAGGCGCAGCACAACCTGGTGCGTGGGGGCGGCCCTGGGGGAGCCGGCGGGAGGGGAGGCGTGGGCGCCTTGTGAGCCTTGGGTCTCCCGGCCGGGACTGGTCCGGGGCCCTGCAGGAGCCGGGCCGGAGCGGTCCCCTGACGTCCTCGTCCCCCGCAGAGAAACTCCCTGGAGAACACGCTGAACGAGAGCGAGGCCCGCTACAGCTCGCAGCTGTCGCAGGTGCAGTGCCTGATCGGCAGCGTGGAGTCGCAGCTGGCGGAGATCCGGGCTGACCTGGAGCGGCAGAACCAGGAGTACCAGGTGCTGCTGGACGTGCGGGCGAGGCTGGAGTGCGAGATCAACACGTACCGGGGCCTGCTGGACAGCGAGGACTGCAAGTGAGTGGGTTGTGCTGGTGACTTTGGGGGCCCCTCAAGTGGGTGTGAGCCTTGGCTGGATTCTGCTGGGCTGCACACCTTGGAGGAAAATTGCACGCTCCCTGCAGTCCTGCCTAGTGGAGCCCAGGGAGCTCAGGCCCATCACTGAACATGTGAAGTTGCTTGAAGGCAGGGATAGTTTGATATCCAAACTGACCTGCTTGGCACACTGGCTATTGGGTGCAGGGTCCGTTCCTCTGCGCGCCCTCATCAGGCCTTATCATTAGCGCCAGATCACCGTCTCCCTATCCTGTAGCTAAGGAAAGTAGGGCTTGAGAAGCTGAGCAACTCACCTGAGGTGAGTTCTAGTAGTGGACAGACAGGGCAGAAGCCAGAGCCGCAGAGCTTCCGTGTGCACCGTGGGCACTGCTCTAGCACAGGAGATGAACAAGAAATGTGCTCGTTTTGTGTGGTGCGTGGGGGCTTCCTGTTCTGGGCCAGGCTGACTCCCAGCAGGCCTCCCATACTTGGGTCTCTCTGGCATAGGATCCACCTCCCTCAAACCCACCCTTGTACATCTTCCTTTGCAGGCTGCCCTGTAACCCCTGCGCCACGACGAACGCATGTAACAAGCCCACTGGGCCCTGTGTTGCCAATCCCTGCACCCCTTGCCCGCCCCCTGCCCCTTGCACACCTTGTATCCCTCGCCCCCGCTGTGGCCCCTGCAATTCCTTTGTGCGCTAGAACCCAGGGATGCAAAAGGAGCAGGGACACAGGGCCTGGTGCTCCAGAGCTGGTGCGGGTTCATTGGACAAAAGCAGGCTGAAAACAAACTCAAAGGCTGCCCCTGTGTGGCAGCCAAGAGACGCACTGGAACCTCTAGCCACCAGGCCTGCTGCAGACCTTTCCCTGCCTGCCCTTCCCTTTATCGGGTCTCTTTTCTTCCTCTGCTTGTCCCACTCTCCAAATGCCAGCGGCCCTCCCTTGCAGCCTCCTAATAAACATGATCTTCTTGACAATCTGGTACTGTTCTTGCTGTATTCGTTTGTTGCCACGTGCTCATCAGTCCAGGATTATAAAAGCAGCTGCAAGTCAGATCGCACGATGAGTCTTGGAGACAAGAAGCAGTCCCTGTCTGGTGGGCAGACAGCTGGCTTGTCACCCTGGCCCGGGGGTGCGCAGAGTGGCCGGCAGGACAGAGGGCAGGGCAGCTGTGGTGCTGTAGACCCCATCTTCCCTCAGCTATTCCTGGATTTCTCCCCTGGCCTGGCTTTTCCCAGGGTTGCTGTCTCCCAGTGTGAAAGAGACACTGGGAGATGCGTCTTTCCCCCCACGACTTTGGGTCCAGAGCTGTGTGATTTTGGGTCATCAAAGCTCTAGGCAGCCTCAGGGCCCCTTTCCCCGCCATGCCCTGCCATGTGTTGTCCTGAGGGTGCGCTTCTCAGCGGGGCTTCTCTCTGCTGTACTCTGCCCGTTCTTACTCCCACCCGTAGCTTGGAATTCCTACTCCGCAGACACTGGGTGGAGGGATGGGGGAGACACATGAAGACGCTTCCCAGCTGCAGGTGAGTTAAGCCCTTGTCCCCAGGCAGGGCTACGATTGGGCACAGGGCCTGGGCACTGTGAACATCTGGGTTAGTGCTGGAAGCCATTCTGAGCTGGGGGCCAATGGCATCAGCATTCATCAAGATCGGGCATCTCAGCTCCAACAAAGACCCGTGGAAGGGGTCAGTGTGGGCTTCCCAAAGCCTCGGGGGCCTGCCCTGATGGCCCCACATGGCAGTAATGGTGCTGTGCCCTCCTGTCAGCCGAAGCAGTCGGATGAATCGAAATCGTACATTTCCCACTGCGGCTGTGCCGTGTAAATCCCTCCCAGAGACGCACACCTCGCCGACACCGGTCATTTTCTGTTCGTGTTTGTGTAGCAGCCGCCCCAGTGGGTGGCAGGGGCGTCTCGATGATCAGGGACGCTGAGTGTGTTTTCGTGCGGCTTGTGGCCACTCGCTTATCTTCGGAGAAACATCTGTGCAGGTCCCTGCCCTTTCGTTGTTGCTGTTGTTGGCTTGTAGGAGTTCTTTATAAATTCCGGCCATCAATCCCTGTCACCTACAGGATTTGTGAGTATTTTCTCCCACCAAGTGAATTTCCTTCTTTGCTCTCTTGTGAGAGTCCTGTAATGCACAGCAAGTTTTAAATTTTGATGAAGTTCATTTAATTTAATTTTTTTTCTTTTGATCCCTTGGCTTTCCTGTCACGGACAAGACATTTTATGACTTCCAATGCCATGAAGGTTTCTGTCTGTCTTCTTCTATGAGTTTTAAACGGTGTTAACACTCGTTCTTAGGCCTTGCAGACTTTTCCATTTCAGTTTTGTATACAGTGTATGGTAAGTGTGTATGTTCTAAGGTAACTTCACTCCTGTGTGGGTGGACAACTAGTTTTCTCACACATCTGTTGAGGAGAGTCTCCTTTCCTCGTGCAGCGGCCTTGGCACCCTGGACAGATGTGATTTGATCATGAAAGTGGAGATGGATTTCTAAACTCTCAATTCTATTCTATTGGTCTAAAGTCTGACTTTATTCCAGCCCCACATTATTTTATTTACTTATTTTTTTTGGTTTTTTGAGACAGGGCCTCACTATGTAGTTGAGACTGACCTGGAGTTCACTATGTGGCCCAGGCTGGTCTTGAACTCACAGCGATCCTCCTGCTTCAGCCTCCCGAGTGCTGGGATTACAGGTGTGCACCACCACGCCCGGCCAGCCCCACATTTTTTTTGATAAATATGGCTTTGTATTAACTTTTATAGTCAGAACTATGCCTTCTCCAAATGTATTTTTCTTTTTAAAGATTGTCTTTGGAGGGGGCTCCTTGAGATCCAATAGAAATCTTACGATGAGTATTTCTATTGCTGAAACAGTATTATTAGGATTTTGACAGCGATTACACTGATCTTGTAGATTACTTTAGAGTTTAAAAAAGAGTAGGTAACTTATGAACCTGGGATATCTTTCTGTATTTATATCTTGGGTAATTTCTTTCCTGTATATTTTGTAGTTTTCAATATACAAGTCTTTTGCCACCTTGGCTAAATTTATTTTTAAGTATTTTTTTGGATACTACTATGCATTAATTTTTCTTAATTTCATCTTTTCATTGTGCATCGCTAGCAAATAGAAATGCAACATGAGACCCTCCTTTCAACATAGCATAGAACTGATTTTAGACCTATTTTGGACTTTTGCCTTGAAGAGCTTTAGGTAATAAACTTGAGTTGTTTTAAGTCACTAACTTCGTGGTGATTTATGACAGCAACAATAAGAAGTTAATCCAGCACTCACTTGTTGGAGTGCTACTACTGGTTAGGCAAAGAAGGGGGGTCTTGTCTTCGTATTTATGGCAGAGCTCAAAATTCACCCCAGTTTATCCATGAGAAAACTGAGCTTCGGAAGCCTGCTCAACACCACATTTAGACACAAGCAATGGAGGGGATTTGAATGCGAGGGGTAGTTGCATATTAGGCCCCACCGTGAAGTATAAAGAATGATTTTTTGCGGGTTGGTACCGGGGAATCAAACTTGGACCTTGTGCTTGCGAGGTAGGCGGTGGCACCACTGAACTAAATCCCCAGCCCAAGAATGATTTTTTGAAGAAATAAGAGCAGAACAGTTTACCCAGGTCGATGACATTCCTCAAATTTGTCTTCCTAACCAACTTCTGTCAAGTTGCTACAGGAACTGGCTTTCATGTGGGTTATGAATCATAATCATATGGAATCTGTTTTTATTATCTAATTTGATGACCTACTCTACTCGTAAGGCTTCTCTTTGGATGGGGCATAGACCAGCTTTCCACTTGCTGGGACCAAATACCCAGCCCTCACAACTTCCGGAAGAGGCTTCTTCCGGCTCACAGTTTCCTGGGTCTCAGTCCCTGGTTGGCTGGGTCCAAGGCAGGACCATCATGGCAGCAGGGCCTCGCAGAGGAGAGATGCTCGCTTCCCCGTGGCCCTGGGATGAGCACAGTAGGAGCTGTGCCCCCAGAGGCAGAGCCCCAGGGACCGCTCACCTCCCAGCAGCACAGCAGCTGTGAACCTCAGCAAATTAACCCCTGACGATGCCTAGGGTGCTCCACACTCCAGTTATCTCCCCACAAGTCCCATAATTTAGTCAAGTCAGTGCCCGGATAGTTAGTAAGGAGATGCAGACCACGACAAAGGGAAAAAGCTGTACACGTGCTTTAAGGAGAGACAGTATCTGCAATAGAGGGAAATTCTGGCCATGGACAAAACTTACTGGATTTGTAAATTCTGGCATGTGTTTGAAGCACAAAAGATAACCGGGTCTTTGCAGCTGTGCCTTCATTTTGTAGATCTTGTGCATTCTACACCCCTCAAACACCTCCATGTAGCTTTTGAGCTTGTTTCCTGGGGCTCTGTTGGCTCAAGACCAGTTCTCAACCTTGGCTGTTCTTTGGAGTCACCCGGGGAACTTTGCAAACGTTAAGTCTGACTTAATTGGCCGGGGTTTTCAGCCTGGTGCTGGGAGTTTAAGAAGCTCTGCAGGTGCTGAAAGTGTAGTGAGCCAGCTGAGACCCACCTCCCAGAACCGTGAGCTCTTTGTCCTGGGAACAAGACATGTGCCTTCGGTGAGCTTTAGTTTCCCCACAGAGAGACATAACCATCTCTTCTCCCCTGCCTTGTATAACTGCCACAAGGAGTGTGGGAAATCATGTTTATGGAAACACTTGTGAATCAGATATTTTTAGAAGGATTATTAATAATTTTGATCATCATGGACTTGCTAATAGCTACATTTCTTTTCTTTTCTTTTTTAAATTTTTGGCACCAGGAATCGAACTCAGGAACTTGCCTTTGAAAGGCAGGCCATGGCATCACTGAGCTAAATCCCCAGCCCATTAGCTCTTCGGTTCTAGGTTCACCTTCTGATTCAGCCCCAGGTCTCCAGGTGATGTAGCATCTCCAGTGCTTTTTGTTGACCCGTTTTATTGGCTCCTGAGCTATCCTGGTCCAAATTCTGAGCCCATTGTGCATAGCACTCTTGGAGGTCTGTTCTCCCTTGTTCTGAATACTTTTTTTTCTGATTTTTCCTAAGAAATCTGGTATTTACTGTAGGGTAGAGCAAAGACATTTTTTCATTCTTCTTTTTTTGTTTTCTTTTGAGACAGGGTCTCGTTACATAATTCAGGCTGGCTTTGAGCTCACCGTGTAGCCCAGGCTGGTCTTGAACTCAGAGCGATCCTCCTGCCTCAGTCTCGTGAGTGCTGGGATGAGAGGTATATGACACCACGCCTGGCACTTTTTCATTATTAAATCTGGGACAAAAGCCATTGCTCAAGATTTTTGGGGCCCGAGGCTGCTGATGGCATTCTCAGAGAGAACCTCAGGGCTGTTGAAGGATGCTTTATAAAAGCCCATCCCATTATCTCTGAGTCATACTGTTTTATGTCAAGTCTGTAACATTTGTCACTGTTAATCCCAGTTTACCGGGTAAAGTAATGTGCAGGGGGTGTTCAGAACTGCTTCAAGAACCCGTGACCACTCTTCTGTGTCTCCCCCCACCTCTGGTTCTGTGGTTTGCCTTACTCTGGCCTGGCTCAGGGTCCCACCTCCCTAACTCGCCACCCCAATGCTGGGCCAGGTGACCAATGGCTGCTTACTTACACCATTCTGGACAAGTGATGTTTCCTCCCAGCCTCCAATATTTATCTCAGACACTCAGTGGCAATGATGGAATCTGAACATCCTGGCTTTGCAATCAGGATGAGTAGTCTGTCTGCAGGGGGTACCAGGTGGACAGTCTGACTAGAAAGTGATCTGTCAATATTTATTTTCTTCCTCCCTCACTGTGTGGGTCCTAGTTTTCTCCCCCATAAGTTCAGGTCCTTCTAGCATTGGCATTCTTTGATTCTAGGAAATAGAGCTTACTTTTGAAGTCCAAATTTACAGGATTAAATGTTCCAGGTTAGATAGGTAGGCTTTCTCCCAGTCTCTAAATCATCTTTTTTTTTTTTTTTTCATACGATCATACGTTTTCATCTGTGGAGGTGCTCAGAAAAGGCAAGCTAATTTCTAACCTGGGCACATAAATCAGCGATGCAAAAGGATGGATATAAGTGAGTGAAATTTGATCTTAGCTTAGGGAAGTCCCACAGAGTAGCTGGGTGTCCAAAGGCTTGGGCAGAGAGACCCTCAGAGGACTGATGGAGTGCAGAAGGGATGGGGGACGGGCTCCAGAGGAGATCAGAAGGAAAAACTATAATGGGAGGGCAATGAGCAGCTCTGAATCTAAGATTTCCCATCTTTCACAAAGCCAGAGAAGACTCCATGTGATTTGTTTTCACTGTGTTTAGGTGCTTAAGGAGTAAAGTACTTGTCTTGTTCAAAGTCCAGTGCCACCTTGAATTGGCTAGAACCTAGGCAAACTCTGAGTCTTTCTCAACATGTGCCTTTATCTATAAAGTGAGAATAACAGGCTAAGCTTCCACGCTTGTTGGGAGACTCAAATGAGAAATGTGCCAAATCTTTTGTACATTTTTGCCTAGGACCTTGTTTGGCGTATAGTAAGTGTTCACAAAATGGTATCATCATCATCATCATCATCATCATCATCATCACCATCATTACCATCACCAACATCAACAATACCACCATTATCATTGTTATGAAAGCGTGCACAGAGCTGTAGGGCTGAAGGACTCCCAGAGGATGAGTAGAGCCCATTTCAATGCCAGGACCAGAAAGCTGGCCTTGGTGGTAATACTACTCTATCAAGAGAACTTGTCCTCTGTAAGAACCACTCCAAATAGGATCACCAAACCCATAAGATCAGGAACTTAGCAGAGAAGACAGAGATAATGGTTATCTGTGAACTTCCCATTCCAGGCAGTAAGTTAGTGTTAAAATTTGCATTTTGTTGGAAAATTTAGAGTTCTGTGCTTTTAGTATTTACAAGGTAAGTGATATTTGATCACCGTTGGGCTAACATGGGCAATGTGCCCGAGTACCTGCTTCATAACATGGAATTTTCACAAAACTCTTCATTTGAACTCAGTCAAAAATAGAAAAAGATGAGAGCCAGGTGTGGTGGTGCATGCCTGTAATCCTAGTATTCTGGAGGCTGAGGCAGGAGGATTGCTGAGTTTAAGGACAGCCTGAACTACAAAGGGAGACCCTGCCTAAAAAAAGAAAAAAAAAAAAAGAAAGAAAGATGACATTTACAGAAATAATCAACATTCCCTGATTATGTTTTTAAACACTATTTAAACACGTTTAATTTTCACAAACAAATGAGAAGGTAGGCAGTATTATTATTACTTTAATCTTAAAAATGAGGAAAACAAAGACTTGGTGAATAGCCCCAGGTCACAAGTTCTCCTTGAGGAGAGGAAGGGTTGGACCAAGTGTCTAATAGTCCATCTTTTCAGGGGCTGCCTGAGAGATGGCATAGAAACTGAAAGTGATGGTATAGAACAAAAGTTATCCATGCAAATGGTAACCAAAGAACAGGAGGGTGGCTACATTTATAGCATATGGGTAGACATTAAGTAAAAGCTAAACAACATTATAAAAGATAAAAACATTTATTAGGAAGAATAATAATTAAGAGCATGTGCATATCTAATATCAGAGAACCAAAATGTAAAGAAAGCATGACAGGAGTAGGGAGAAATAGACAAAAGTATAATAATATTAAGGGACTTAACAAGATCACCTTTAATATTGGATAGAACATTCAGATAGAAATCCAGTGAGAACTCAGTGGGTCTCAACGCAAACAAATGGAATGATAAGACGGGTTGACTGAGCGTTCTACTCACAAGGAGCAAGAGATGCATGTTCTTCTCAGGTTCATCCCGGGTACTTCCCAGCAGAGATCATGTCAGGTTACAGAAATGTAAGAAGGATGAAATCATACCAAGTGTAATTTCCAGTTACAGTGGAATGAAACTAGACATTAATGGCAGAAGAAAAGCTGGAAAATTTGCAAACACCTGAACATTAAACAACACACCCTTAACAACCAGGGGTCAGAGAAGATATCAAAAGAGAAATCGGTAAATATGGTAAGAAAAATGAAGATGAAAGCCCAATCTGTCAAAACTTACAGGATGCAGCTGAAACAGAACTAAGAGGGAAATAAAAGTATAGCAATACACACTTGTGTTAGGAAAAAAAAAAAAGAAAGATAAAAAGATAAACAATCCACTTTACACCTCATGGAACTAGAAAAAGAGCAAACTGCGCAAAGTTATCAGAAGGAGGAAAATAGTAAAGATTGGAGCAGAAATAAATATAAATCATACAAAAGCAGTAAAAAAAAAAGCTGTGGTGTGGCCTTGAAGTCCAATGTGCTAAAGGCTGGGTCTCCTGGGTGGTGTCACTGGGAAGCACTGGAACACTGAAGAGGGAGTCGGGAGCGTGTTCTCGAGGGGGATTATGGGAACCTGGCCTTTTGCTCTTTTTCTCACTTTTCTCGCTGATCTGTGATGTAAGCAGTTTTCTCTGCATGCGCTCATTCTGTGTGGGCTTCATCACAGGTCCCTAACAATTAACCCCGGAGTGGAAGCTCAACATTTTGAGCTGCAATAAACCTTTTCTCTTTAGACGTTGATTATCTCAGATATTTTGGTATAGTAACAGAAAGCTGACTAACATAGACACCAAGAGTGGCATTTTGCAAAGGCAAGCAAAATTCATAAATCTTGAGGTAGACTGAGAGAAAGAGGGAAATTTCAACTAAGTAAAAATCAAAGGATGTTTTCTACTCCTATGCATGGCCTTTGGAATCTGGACAAATCCTTCTTTAAGTGACTTACATCGATGCACATATATACTCTTTTGGGCCTCTGTGATCCATGAATTTTTCTAAAGAACAAAGGCGGTGTGACAGGGACAGAAGGAGGGTGAGGAGGGATACTCTGTTAGGATTCATATGGGCAGCAGAGAGATTCTAGAGGGTACGGAGGGAGATGTGTCTACTCCCCAGGGATGAGAGTCAAGCTGCATTCTCATAGCACTCTGCACCAGGAATATCTCAGGGCACAGTCAGGCTCAGAGGGTGCTAACATGCCCAGTAAGTCTGGGAATCAAGGGAGAGACAGTTCCAGTGACTTTTGAGATAAGGCCATCACGGATAGCTCTGAATACCTCACCGCAGTTTTCCTTTCTTGGAGAATCTGAAATGTGCTTCATACTTACCCCTCAACACCCAAAACACCCACTCTTTTGGGAGCATAATGTTTCTTCTAGATATTTCCTCCCTGTCTCAATTTTAGTGCATATTGGCAACCTTTTTCTCTGTAGGTCCAGAGAGTAACTAGCTCAGGCTTTCCCGGCCCCATGATCTCTGTTAAAAACTCCATTCTGCCTTTGTAGCACAGAAGCAGCCTCAGCAACACCTAAGTGAAGGGGCACAGCTGGCTTCCATCCAACCCTTATCTACCAAAAATGCAGCACGCTAAACTTGGCCACAAGCTATAAGTAGGTTTCCCTCAAACTCCCTGCATCCAGAAGAGAACCCACCTCCCACCCCATCCCTTATGGGTTCCCCCATCTTTCAGTAGCGCTGCTGTGAGGACCACACTCTAAGCAGCTTATAGGCCGCAGGTGGCCAACCTTCCTTTATTCTCGCCCCATTCAGCCAGCCAGTTCCTGCCGGACTTTCTCATTTCCCACGAACCTACATGCAGTTGTCCTTGGTTTCTGCACTTATCGGCCAATTTCCCAAGCCCTGACCGACCGTAAGCCTCAGGAGTCTTGCTTCGAAAACAGGTAGGTGAGCTTCTATTCCAAGGGTGAGGTGGAGTGGAGTGAGACGCGGGTAGACTGGGGAGGAGAGGGTGGATGTTCACCCAGGGCTCTCTTTCCGGAGAGTCGGTCGCAGAATGTCATGGGAGGAGAATCCCTGATCCCCAGATGACTCCAACCGGTGTCCCCTGCGGTCCTCCCCTCTGAGTAATGGGGTGAGCCTTTGGGGCTGTGGCGATTCTGCCTCCTTTGAAGCCAGCTGATGACTCTGACTTCATCAACCACAGGCACTCGGGAAGAGCCTGGTGTGACAGAGCCCCGTGGAGTAATTTTATGAGATGAGGGAGGACTCTTCAGAAGCATCTAAGCAGCATATTTTGAAGAAAAATTAGCTGAAGCATTCATAAAAGAAATTATGTTATTTGCTAATCCCCCACCCATCATAAAGGGTATAAAAGGACTGCAGAAGAAGGAGCCTTAACTTCACCCTTGTCTACCTCCAGTAGCTCTGCTCCCTCCCAGCACCATGCCCTACAACTGCTGCCCGCCCGCCCCGAGCTGCC